TGATGAAGGGAAGCGTTGTCGAAAAACACGTTTGTTGGATCATACTTTTTGCGAACCGCCTCAAATCTTTGGATTTTACTTTGCAGCTGTTCATGAAGGTAGCTTTTAATGTTTGAAACATTTTCCCAGGATTTGGCCCAATGAGGTCTAAAATTAATAGTATAAAATTTGGTGTAAGCGTCGTATTGCAATAATTTGTCATATTCAATTATATACATGGTCCAAGTCATATCACCTTGCATTGTATAATTTCATCCACCGCGTACCAAGCTCGTTAGCAAACTCATTATAGTCTGGCGTCCCCGTAATAGAAAGAATCTCAATGAAGAGATAATAGGCGTCAGGATCATCATCATATGCGTTTGACAGGAGAGCCTTTGAACTTTTCAAAATCCGGAATTCGGCGGATAAGTTAACGGGAAATTTCCCTTGTTGTTGATAATCATTAATCTATTTACAGAAACAGCGCGCGCGTCAATATTCACATAAGCTATTCCGTTGGAAAATTAGAATCAATGAGGTTATACGTACTCTGTTAATAATGTAGTTCAATTCAGTGATGACATTCGTAAAGTCATTGTCAATTTTGATAGCAAATTCCATATCAAGGCAAGGAATATTATCAATGCCGGCCTGATAATGAATTGCGTCCGGTGCTAGCCACACATGATTACGTTCTACCAGCCTAACCTTCCCGCCAATGTAAGCAATAAAAGGCGTATGGTCTGGATGTGATATAAGCTGTTGGTAAACTGTGTCGGCTATGGCCGTGGAAATGCTTTGGGCTTGATGATACAAGGTGGTCTCAAGTGCATTGTAAGTGACGTCATCGTTGGTAAGTTCCCATGTTTTTACCCATAGTTTATCTTTCGAAGGATCCCTCTTTCCTGTCGCTGTATATAAATTAAATAATATTTAGCAAGAGATACGATTTCCATTCGAGTAAATAAACAAACAAACAAACAAACAAACAAACAAACAAACAAACAAACAAACAAACAAACAAACAAACAAACAAACAAACA